CTCTCCCGTGTGGCTGCTCCTTGTGCTGTCTGACAGTCTTCTTGCGTCCATCCATCCATCGAGCCACACCCCCGACCCCCTGCTGCTCCATCTCACCAGCGGCATTTCTGAACGGCTGACACCTGGTCCCTGGGCCGACACCTGGGACCAGCCTTGTCTTTCCCTCTGCAAGGTCAGCGCAGGCCGGAGCCCCCCCTCACCCACTGCCATCCTCACGTCACACAGGACATTCTTCACCGTGTCACTCCCTCCACACTCCTTGGTCTCCTGTTAGAAGCTATCTATTCCAAGACAGAGTCTCGCTCTGTACCCCAGGCTGGGCTTGAGCTCACAGCGATCCTCCTGCCTCAACCTCCCCAGTGCCAGGGTTAGAGGCCTGCACCACCATGCCAGGCTCCCATGGCGTTTACACAGACTCTAAACTCTTAGAGGGTTTCTGCTCAACGCTAAACTCACTGGACCTTTCTTGCCTCTGGGGAGATACTGAATGGGGTCTTCTCTCACTGCTCCTCTGGTTGGGCTCCTGCTCCAGTGCACGGAAACCTCGTGGTCAGAAGCTCACGCTTTCCCCTCACCCTCCCTTCCCTTTCACCCCTGCTCTCTCGCTGGCTCTTTGCCCATCACAGTGTAAACTGCACAAAGACAAAGGCTGCCTTCCTTCCCCTCTGCTTCTAGCACCCGCAACCCTGGCTGGGTGACCAGGGGCTAAGCGTTCGCTGGGAGCACAGGCACCAGGGCAGGTGCGCTCCGCACAGGTCTGCACCTCGCCACCGGCTCGCTCCTACTTATCAGCAAGGTCCAAACAGAGACTGCAACGCAGCTGGTTAGTGTGAGGCTCGGTGGGGTCCAGGTGTCTGTCAGATTTCAAAGTTTATGCCTTTTCCCTGCTACTGGACACGGTTGCGCTTTCTTGATTCCCAGACTCAGTGCTGGGGACGGAGCATCCTCTCGTCTCTCGGATTTGCTTTCTGACAAATGATCGCTTTTATTCAGCTTCTGCTATGGACTGTCTCTGGGGTGGGGGGCGGGTTACTGGGAAGTGAGCCTGAGCTGCATCCCCAGCCCTGTTTTAATTTTTATTTTGAAACAGTCTTTTGCTAAGTTGACCAGGCAAGGCTTCAACCTGTGATCCTCTTGCTTCAGCCTCCCAGAATACTTAGATTTCTACTGTTTTTTTCTTTCTTTCTTTCTTTTTGCTGAGACTGATAGTAATTTTTTTTTTTTTTTTTCATTTGGACAGTTTTCTTTAAGTAATGGTGAAGACACTACAGTTTTAAGTACCAGACAGAATCAGGGAGGAAAAAAAAAATAAGCACAACACTAAAAAGAAAGCTTGGAAAAGTGAAACACTTCTAAGTAAAAAATGTAAACCTGGCCTGGTACCCGTTACAAGTATATGATGGTAATAAATTGACTAATCTTCTATATTATTTTTCTTTTTATATTTGAGACGTATTTTTTTGTTGTTGTTGTTTTTCCAGTACTGGGATTAAACACAGAGATTTAGCGCTGAACTGCATGCCTAGCCCTTTTTTAGTTTTTATTTACAGACAGGTCTGGGTCTTGTTAAATTACCAAGCCTAGGCTCAAACTTGTGATCCTCCTGCTTCAGCCTCCCAGAGTGCTGGGATTACAGGTGTACCACCACACCTGACTATAATTTTTAATCAAATACAATGAAATTGATGTAATTGGTATATTTTTTTTTTGAGTCAGCGTCTCCCTGTGCACTTCTGCCTGGCCTTGAACTCACTTTGTAGTCCAGGTTGGCCTCAAACTCACAGTGATCCTCCTGCCTCAGCCTCCCGAGTGCTGGGATTACGGGCGTGAGCCACCACACCTGGCTCCATTAGGATTTATTTATTTTATTCTATTTTTTTTTTGGACAAGATTAGGAAAAGTTTAATCCTCGATGGGAATCTGAAGACAGGGCTCTGCTTCCACCTGTCACAAAACAAACCTTGTGTCTTTCAATTATAAAATAGGAGTGGATCCTTCCGGCTGGAGGCTGGGAAGTCAGGACCTGGTCCTCGGCCACCTGGCCTGGTGCGGGACGCTTCTCTTTCGCAGCCTCCTGGGTCATCAATTCCCTCCGGCTCCCCTGCCAGCCAGGAAAAGGGCTCCTCCCAGAAGCAGCCCACCTCTCCCTGGCGTTTGGCTCTCAGCCCTCTGTCGCTCCTGCTCACTGCTCGCCTGGCCAGTACCCCTCACCTGTCCCGAGCCGTACGCGCCCACAGCGGCAAAAGTCCGTCTCCAGCTCCGGCTGTCCCTTAGGATTAAAGAAAGTCCAACCGTACTTCTCATCTACTGCCAGTAACCTGCCCCTCCACACCCCGTCCCCACTGTCAAAGGCTGGTGGGTTGCTTGGGAGACTTGGATTCGGTCCCCACACAGCTGAACTCCCTGCCCAAGGTTCTGGCACAGGGTATCGGGTCAGACACAAGACGCACAGCTGGGTGGGCAGGTCCCCGACTCACAGGTCCAAAGAAGATGCAGCAGTAGTTACAAATGGCCCTATTGTAAGAGCAGCTTTAATGCCTCAAAACTGTTTCAGACAAATTATCCTCAAAAAGGCTCGTCTTTCTTTTGGGCTGCTGAGTCAGATATAAACGGAACACAATGACTTTCGTTCATATCGAACTTGCACGCTTTCTGTAGTAGGCTGATATTGTGCGTAGTTCTTTATGCTTCTAACTACTGCTTCGGGCAGGGGCTTTCGCTCAGTGGCAGAGAGCTTGTTTAAGATGCGCAAGGCCCTGGGTTCAATCCCCAGCATCAAACAAAGAATTCCTTGGAAACATGATAGGTGAGGACCGGGTACTTTTTGAGCAGATGCTCTCTGTGATTTTACTGGTGGCACCCAACGATAGTTGGGTTGCTTCTCTTTTGTTATATTAAAAATTAAGGATTAAATGTTCTTGATACAGCCAGGCATGGTGGCACACGCCTGTACTCCCAGCACTTGGGAGGCTGAGGCAGGAGGATGGCTGTGAGTTTGAGAATGGCTTGGGCTACACAGTGAGAGCTTTTCTTAGAAAAAATTCTTTTTTCCCTTCAGTTGGAAACTTACTTTCCTGGCCTGGAACTGCATGGATTGCTGCAAAGTGAGGGCCAAGTATGGAGGTTGGTGCTGGATGCGTTGGTTCTCTCAGCACTTGGCCTGCGGGCACCTTGGGGCGCTCTCAGGGTTGAAGTTGCCTTTCCGCCATGGCCGGCTGTGTCTTCCCTTTCTGACCACACATGGGCCGGGCAAGGTAGAAGCAGCACAGCTAGGCTACCGGTACCACAAGGTGGAGATGAGGTTTAATGGGTCTCCTTGACTCTTTTCAACTCTTGGCTTCCTGTTCCCATTGGAAAACTGGCTTCGTGCTACCCCTAGAATTAGTCTTCATCTGACTCTATAGTTCATTTTGGTTCTTGCACACTTGCAGTGATCCTCCTGCCTCAGCCTCCCGAGTGCTGAGATTACAGGCGTGCACCACCATGTCCAGCTTTAATGATTCTATAGTTTTGATGGCTTGGTTATTTTTTGTTGTTCCGGTTTTCAAATTCCTCTTCGGGAGCCGCACAGACAAGCCAGACTTATGTCAGTACCAGGGTTCTTGGTGGCCTTTCACCTCCAACGCTGACCCAGGTCACTTGCCTGCCTGCTTGGGCCTGAGGGTCGCATCTGCACTGTAGTACCCAGCTGTCCCACGCCTCTCCCTCCCTGGCCTCTGCTTCTGTCGCATGGGGGTGGCTGTGCCCCATGAAGATGTGACAGTGTGAGGGACCCACCAGTAGAGCATAGACCTGAACACCTCAGCCTCGTTATTGCAGAAACCTCCCTCCAGTGTGGCTGTACTGTGGTTTCGGGCTGGCGCTGCCTGGGTCTCCCTTCCCAGGGACAGAAGGGACAGGCAGAAAGGGAAGCGCCGGAGCTGCTATCTGTACTGGGATGTATCTACCCGCCCCACTGTGGGCATCCGCAACATCAAGCTGCAGCCCTCAAATGTGCACAGTAAAACTTGTTAAAAGATGAAATTGAGGCACCACAGCCTTCTGTCAATTTTGGAGCCAGACACAGAGTCCATCACCCTTTAACCTGTGTGGAGGAAGGGAATCAGTGGTCAGTGTTTCTCTTTGACTCTAAGGAGTGTTGGCCAAAGGGAACATGCCTCCTGCCTTGAGCCAGGTGTGGTGGCACACGCCTGTAGTCCCAGCACTTGGGAGTCAGAGGCAGGAGGATCATCTCAAATTTGAGTTAAAAACCAGCCTGGGCTACATGGTGAACTCAACTCTAGCCTGAACTATAGAGCGAGATGCTGTCTCAAAAGCCAGATAAAAAGAGGCTTGCTTTGAGCTCTATCTGACCCTGGCTTTGTGTAAGGTATCAGCTGGAACTCATTTGAGTTCAACAGGGGAGGGGTCACCGGTAGAACAGCTAAGCGGCTGGTAAGAGGTAGGAGTGCAGTTGAATATTAAAGAGGTACACACGCACTAAAGCCTGTTGACTGCACTATGCAGGAGCTGCACCCAGGACTTTTCTGTAAGAGGCTGTGACGCGAAAGGTGATGTGGTCCTCACGGTGACCGTGTGCAGGACGAGGCAGTGTTAACGCAGACCCAGGAAGGCAATGTGCACCATCCTTTTGGATGGGTTGAGGTTTATGTAGTGTTTATTAATCTTTCCAAATGTGTGCCTAACTTTCTTTTTTTCTTTTTCTTTTTTTTTTTTTTTTTAAGGAGACAGGGTCTCACTATGTAGTCCAGGCTGGCCTGGAACTCATGCCCATCCTCCTGTCTCAGCCTCCCAAGCACTGGGATCGCAGATACGCGCCACCATGCCTGGCAACGCTTGTCTAAAATTCTTGTGCTGAATTTAACAAATGTGCAGGAAAGAGACCTTTGATGTATACACTAAGCACAATGGGAAGCCCCACAATGCAGGTGACAGGAGTTAGAAATGACAAAGAAGTTTGTCAGATGGAAAAACGACAGCTCAATCCAACTTTCCCACTGTGGCTGAGGCATCACCAGAAATAGCAGCGGTCCTGGAAGCCAAGGTCACAGTCGGACTGCGGCCCGGAAGCCGGAGGAAGCGGGGCTGAGGCGCCGGTTATGCCTCACGCCTGCTGGCCACTCTTGCACTCACAGGAAGTCACAGCCAGGGCTGTCACCTTGGAGGACAAAGGACAGCGGTGTGAAATGGGTGTGAAATGCGAAGCTCTCCATAAATTGCCCCTAGTCATGGGGACGGCTGGCGCCATGCCTCATCGGATAGGGTGACCCTCCATCTCACCGTGGAATTTCCTTGGTCGTCTGTTGCCCTTTGTGCCTGAGAATGACACACATTTTCTTTTCCTCCAGTGAGGTCTCAAAATTAGCCCCAAAAGGGCGCAGCAATGGGCGTCTCAAGGCTTCCTTCTGACGCGACTTGGAGACTCTATTTTGGTCGTGGCCTAAGACTCCTTTATTCAAAGAAAAAAAAATGGAAGAACTTTTTTTTGTCTTTTTGAGACAGGGTCTCGCTATGCAGTTCAGGCTGACCTTGAGCTCGCTTTGTAGCCCAGGCTGGCCTCGAATTTGCAACAGTCGTCCTGCTTCAGCCGCCCAAGTGATGGGATTACTGGCGTGCACCACCACACCCGGATAGAAAGGGAAAAACTTTGAGAGGAGATGTTCAGTTTGCTTTTCCGTTTTTCATGCAAACAAAACTTTTTTATCTTTCATGCAGCACAGTGGGTTTACTGTCCTGCCCGGCTCGCAGGCCTTTCTGTTGAAGTGGGGGCTTGCACATGTAATAAAAGTTATGTCACTGGTGTTCTTTAGCTATTTTCTTTTTGAGACAGGTCTTGAACTCTCTATGTAGCTGAGGTTGGCTTCAAGCTCACAGCAATCCTCCTGCCTCAGCCTCCTGAGTCCTGGGATTGCAGGCATATACCCAACTTCCTTAGCTGTTCCTATCTGTAATTGTAACAACCACTTTTTAAAAAAACTTACATTTCCCCTTCTATTTTAGAATATTCTCCACCAAATGTCAAGTATAGATAGTAAGTTGAAGGTTTGGAAGCTTTCTTCAAAAATAACACGAAGTGTTAAAGAGTTGCTTTTTTCCTTAGTCTGCGTCTTTCTCGGATTTTTTTCTATGCACTAGGATAGGTGGATGCAGTATCTGAGGCAGCAGCACCTCGTATACCTTTGATATCTGGATCCTTTTTTTTTTTGGTACTGAGAATCTAACTCAGGACCTCCTACTTTCCAGGAAGTCATGCCTCTGAGCTGAACCCCAGTCCCTGATATCTGGATCCTTGCAGTCATTTTCAGGAGAGTTTCCCACTTCCAGCAGGAAGCCCTGGCTTTGCCCAGAGGCTCGCTGAAAGCTATTTGTGACAGAAGTGTTGAACCAAGGCGCTACATGCTTTGACAGTTTCAACAATTTTATTTATTTATTTTCAACATATCAGGATTCATATGTCAATTTCAGAGATAAGAACTACTATAGGTATCTTCCCCAAAGACTTAAAGACAGCTTGTTACAGAGACCCACGAATACCCATGTTTATAGCTGCACAACCCAAAATAGTTAGTGTTGGAAGCAGCCTCTACCTCCACCAGCAGATGAGTGGATGAAGAAAATGTGTTATTTACATGTGTCTTAGTTACTTTTCTCTCATTGCTGGGACAAAATACCCAACACCCAGAATTAAGGAAGGAAAGGTTTATTTAGCTCACAGTTTGTGGAGGTTTCAGCCCATACTAGGCTTGCTCCATCGCAGAGTGGCACATGGCAGAGGGCAACAGTTCATGGCTGCAGAAGACAGCAAAAGCAACAAGAGCAAAAGGAAGCAGCAGCAACAAGCAGCCTCTTTCCCTCCCTTATACTGTATGCAGCCTTCCCACCCAGGGCGGGTGTAGCACTACACCATAGTCCAAGCATTGGACAATGGATCAATCATAAACTCTAGAAGCCCGCCCCACGACTGCATGAGGCTTTAGGGGGACGTCCAGACACAAACCATGACAATGCACAATGGAGTACTACTGTGGCTAGCAGAAGGATAAGCTTGGGTTATTTGTAGGAAAGTGGGTGCACCTTGAGACCATAATGTGATTGAAATAAACCAGAGACTCAAGCTTAAATATCACCTAGTTTCTCTTATTTGAGAAACCCAGTGTATGAGCAAATTAAAAATCAAAATACAAGCTAGCTACTGAGAAGAAGGGAGACAGATCCTTTCCAAATGGGAAAGGCACCAAGAGATGGGGATGAGTGAAGCGGGGAAGAGAACGTGAAATGAATTCAGACGTGTTACGCCCGGGAGCCACTCCCTGCCCAGTGTAAGCCTCAGGCACTGCAAACACCACTCATGAGGCATCTTAGAGAACACTTTGCACTGGGACAGCATGGCCTTTCCCTCTACCCCACGGAATGGTTATCTAGACGCCCCTGTGTGACACACTGCACCTCTGTAGTATCAGCCTTGTCCCTTCCTGGGGGCAGGGCAGACACACAGGGCTCCCTGCACACCTTGCTAGCCAGCCGGGCCCTCGGGTGAAAATACCAGCCTTGGAGGGTCTCCGGGGTGACACTGTGCACGCTACACATGTCTGGGTCGCAGTCAGTTCTCTCCCGCACTGCTCCAGGGCCTCCTTACCACACCCGCCGGCCGTGCCACACGATGCCCACAGGGGCCACTGCCACCTCCTGCCCTGCTGTCCCCTACTGTCTGTCCTTCTTCCTGAGACAAGTGCACGCTGCTAGCCCTCAGCACGCCCCTGTGACAGCTGCTGGGAGGCAGAATTGAACATCTCTACCTCAGCTTGCGCTTGCCAGGCACGCAGTGTACGCGCAGTGAGCCTCAGAAAGCATCCCTGCTGGTCCGCAGGCTGGGAGATCAGCAGAGGCCTCACTGCACTCCCGGAGCACTGACGGTCCCTCCGAGAGCAGCCAGGCTTCCGCTGCCGTTTCCCCGATGCTGCTGTAACGCAGGACCACAAACTTCTGGCGTAACAGCACAGACAGATCACATGCTGTTCTGCAAGCCAGAAGTCGGAAGACCAGGGCGCCAGAGCTTCCTTCGTGGACGCTTAGGCCTGAGCCCCCTTTACTTCCTGTCTGTGCCCTGTCCTCCATCTTCAAAGCCGTGGCCATGTCTCTCTCTCTCTCTGCTTCCGTCCAGTGTGAGGTTGGTGCCCGTGCCTCCCTCTGCTGAAGACAGTCACCAATTTGCTGGACCACCCAGGAGTCCAGGGTGGTCCCACCTCCCACCTTGCTGTCACAGCTTGGAGATCAGGAGTGAGCATAGCTGGAGCCCACACCTCTGCCCCTGTGACCATGTCTAAGATTTAATTTCAATCCCTATCTTCGGAAAGACCAAAGACTGAACAATATTGATGCTTTAAAGCCAAGTGGTACAGAACCATCATTCCCAGTGTTATCATCCCCATGAATATTTGCAGTAATGTCCAGATGAAAATTCTGACAGACTTGATGAGCTGGGTAACTCACAAACCATCTCTAACCCTCTTCTTCCTTCTTCATTGCTTCTATTTCAAAGTCTATCCTTTGCTGGAGTAACAAAGTGGCCAGATCTTGCCAGAGAGACAGAAGTAAAAATTTGTTAGGAATTTTTAAAAAAAAAAAAACTTAGCTTTTATCACTAACAAAGACACGTATCTCCCTTTTATGCGGACATAGACATGATGGTTGGAGCTTCAGCAGCTATCTTGTAATCATGAGGGAAAGGCCAAATCCAGGAAATCACAGAGACACTGGCCTTGCCATTATTGGGTAACTGAGACAACTCTAGCAACTACCCTAAGCAACTTCCTGACGTGGGAAAATAAGTAAACTCATATTTGTTCTCACCACTGTATTTAGGTTCTCTGTTACTGGGATCTTGCAGCTGAGCAAATACAAAAGCAGTTTTAAACATTGCCTCACTATGAGCAACCCATTCCAGAGACCATGTGTGGTCTTGGCAACACCAGAACTAAGCACTAATACTTTACTCTGTCATTTGATAATGTTTAGATATGTGAATAGGTAATTTTAGACTTATTAATGGAAAAACTCTCCCTTTGGTCAAAGCAATAACTTCCAAGGATCAGAAACAAATTGTTAGTGAATGTAGGCTGCCCCAGGAAACTGCCAAACATTTTTCTTTCTATTTTTGTTTGTTTGTTTGTTTTTCTTCTGGTACCGGGAATCGAACTCAGGACATCGCACTTGCCAGGCAGGCGCTATGCCGCTGAGCTAAATCCCCAGCCCCATATTTTTCTTTCTAAAAACTATCTTCCACATTTATATTGAAAGTGAACTTTGCTTGACCTTAAAAATCTAACTTTTAGAACCGAATGCATTTTAATGCCTCTGTTTACACTAGATTTGGTTTACTGATTTCTCTCCCCATTGTTTTTCCTTGGGGCTTTGAGTTTTGTTGCTCTCACTTCCGAAACGTCAAGGATTTCTATTGCTGTGGGAGTGAAAATGTTTGTTTTCAGAGTCTACAATGCTCCTCTGAGAGGGTCTTTCCAGAAGGACTGAGTGGTGGGCACAGGGGTGCAGGTCTAGGGAACCCCCTCTCTCCTCCTACTCCCCGCAGCAGTCCCTTCCAGGAAGCTTTGACAGAAGTTTGACGAACAGTTGTGCTTGCCCTTTGACCTCTGAGCACGGCGCAGGCGCAGAAGGCTGGGAGCCAGTGGCTGTCACGGTGAAAAGTGCGCGAATGAATGTGTTCCCGCGAGAACCAGGGGACAGAGAGAGACCCAGGGCTTCCAGCT